TTATAATTATAAAATTAAATTTTATGTAATATTATATATGTATATCATTGTCGAATTAAAATATATTGATTAAATTTTTCCATAGGCCTTTTGTTTTTTAACACACAAAATTAATTATTTAATATTAAAGAGATTTAAATCTTGACCTTAATCTGGTATGTAAATTTGTATTTAGTGGGGATTAAGCTCGTCATTGTAGATTGAACAGTTTGGAAAGAAAGAATTGTTTGGAAAGAAAAAATTATTGCTTTACAATTTTACAAATTTTACTCTTGTAAATTAATTTGAGTGCAATCAAAGTTGATGCCTTTTCTTCGAGTGTGGTTCTAGCACCCTATGAAAAATAATTTAGAGAGAATTTTTTATATAATTTTTTTGTACAATTTTATATGTTATTAAAATAATTAATTTTTTTATTTAATTAGAACCTGAATATTAAATACATTCACTCATATAATAACATATAAAAATTATATAAAAAAGTGATACAAAAAAATTATTTTTATACCACTGCCTTGCACCTATTGTGTTAGAGCCACCCAAACTTTTTTTTTTCTAAATAGTTAGGTATGGTATTCGAAAATTAAGTAGGTTGATTTTAATTTAACTTTAGTATATTAAATAATAAATATTAATTTTTATTATTTATTAATTAGTAATTATAATTATTAATTATTTATAATAATTAAATTAAATTAAATTAATGTTTTAAAATAAAATATTTGAAATATTTTTTCATCATAACATATTTTACTTGTGGCCATAACATTGCCCATTATCTTGGGTCTTTGTTGAAGTTCATTTCACAAATGACGGGAAGGATAACGTTTTTTGGGAAAATAGGCAACGGGACAGGAAGGATAACTAAGCCGCTAAGCCTACAGAGGATACTGGATTGATTAGGCCCATCACCAGATTGGGGCCAAAATAGATAAACGCAAAGAGCCCAAATTTTGTTTTTATTGTTTTGGTAAATTAAAAGGTCAGTATTGACTAATGATCCCTGTATGTACTTCTAGAAGGGAAGCATGATCATCCCTCAATACTATTTTGGATCAGGTTGAGCATTCCAAGTTTTGTTTCCAGAATCTCTGGACCCAAGTTGAATGATGAAAGGCAATGGAGAATGGTGAAAAAAGCGCCTCAACAGCAATGATGTGAAAGCCTGGAGCGTATGTTGAATTTGGATTTGAGAAGTCTTCATTTTTTGACCATTAGCCCATTCTTTGAGAATTGGATTGGAAGGAGAATAGAAATAGAACATGGAACTGGGGAGACAACAATTTCCTAAGTTGAATTAATTTCATTGACCAAAGAATCTTTTGTGAAAAAGTGACCATTCATACATTCATTTTTTGATTTTGGGAGTGCGGCTCCGTCGGGGTCGCGAGTACTCTCCCATTCTTTCGGTCGATTTTTAATTGGGACAAAAATTTTTGTTATTAATGGGAGTGGATTTTACTTTACGTTTGGATTAAAAAGAATGAAAAGAAGAGAAAAGAAGAAGGGAATGGAGGTGAATAAAAGTATATATTCCTTTCTCTTTTCTTTCTTTTATTTAAATAACTAAATAAATTTAAAAAAAATGAAATAAATGAAATTTTTTCTCTCCCTTTCCTTCTAATTTTTATAATCAAATAAAAACATTTTTCACCCCCTCCTTTCCACTCAAGCATATTGTTTGAATTCTTTGACTGGGCAACCTATATTATAAAATTAATTTAATTATTTTATTTTGTTATTTTAAAACAAAATATTTTAAAGAGTTGAGTTAAGGTCCAAAAATATGTTAAATTGGATTTGGTTAAGAGCAATTAAATTTTAGTATTGAATTAAAATTAAGAATGTGTAAGAGATATAGTTTATAAGTATCGATTAAATACTTAAATTAAGTTGGATTTAATAATTTCTAATTTTTTTAAAATTTTGCATTGGGAATGGAGACCTGCAAAACAGGAAAATTTCTTAAAAGTTTTTACAAGAAAAAAAATACTCTCATCCCCACCTTACCCCGCATGGCAGGAATCCCCACACATTCTATGAAGGATGGGGGAAATTACCGGCAAAAGCCTAAAAATAGCCCCTTACCTAGATAAGTTGGACGGTTTTGGCCCCTCACCTTATAACATAACGGTTTTAGCCCCTAATCTATAAGAATGGAAAAAAATAGCCTTTTTTTGTAACTTTCGTTTGTTGGGCTGTTACGTCCGTCACTTCCGTCCATTTCTCCGTTATCTTTCCGTTAACTTTCCGAAGCTTCTCCAAGAAGCCTACTGCATTTTTTTTTGCAATTCAAACCTTTTTTTTTTTAGAATTCTAATATTTTTTTTACCTTTATTTTTAAAGACGGTTGCACATGTATTAATTGTATATAATTTTTACATATTATTAAATAAATAGATATAATTAATATTATAGGTCTCAAATAAATATAAATAATAAATAAAATATATAATACAATCAA